TTTTTCTGCTAAATCTGAAAAATAAATAAATAACAAGTAACAGAACTTATCATTTACTAGCTAGAACTGCAAATGACTTCAAAGCACTTCCCAACCAAATAAATCTAAATAAAAACTGTAACAAAAATCTCGTTGTCAGATAACGACTATTTAAATTTTCTTATAATGCTCTCCAACATTGCCACTTAATTGGATCAATGACGTCGACTGCTTCAGAACTCTAAGTAAACGAACCAACAAATAGCAACGCACTGTAGAGATGGATGCAATCGACATGTCCAAATCCAAAGGTCTTAAACAGAAAACCGACACATACAACGAGTTATAAGTCAAAGTGTTCACCAAAGAGATAACAAAATTTCGATGCAAAATAAAACAGAGAAAATAGCAAGAGTTGAGCACTCCGGTTCTAAAAAACAATCCGTTAATAACCCAAGACGAACATCATCACGATTCTCAGGATGAAAACAGAAATGAACTTGAAGAAAATGACTAAATCGAATTCGAAAACGAAACAATGGCTTCGATCTCTGCGGAATGAGAGAAAATCCACAACAGATCTAGGCGGAAAGCAACGAGAGAAATGGAAATCTGAGAGTGTGAACGGATCGACAATACGAACCTTGAAAATGAAGAAATGTCGTAGGAGGGAAGAGAGCAGGAATGCAAAGCAGCAGCTAACTCCCTTTATCAATCTCTGTCTATGAATACTAATATAATAGCAGTAAACAAATAAGCAAAGGTGGGTTTTATTTTATTCTCTAACAAATTATAATAGCTGTCAACAAATAATTACACAAGAGAGGAAAGCGACAGATAAACTACGATACCAGTTCCTTCCACCGACAGTTGTTAAGGGTTAAACGTTAAGAGGCTTTAGGCTTATTAGAGAGGTTAAGTTTAAGATTTAGGCTCAGTGATGAAATGCACTGACAGATCATTTACACCCAATCATTTTCTTTATTTTGTTGCGGTTCGATGGTCGAACCGTTGAAATTAAACAGCTGGAACGCTTTCATATCACGACTTACTGACCCCGGCCTGGAAAAAAGTTACGGAGGGTGACTTTCTAATACTACTGGCTTAGACTTTGTGTTGAGTCGCAGTTTTGACAATGTTGTTCTTTTGTTTAACCGGATTTATCCCTTTTTAAATTTAAGGTTAAAAATAGTTTTTGAATAATATTTTTATAAAATAAATTATATTTTACTGTTTCTAAAAATATTTTACGATTACAAACGAATAATGTTTCCAGATATTCAAATCAAACACGACCGTTACACACTCGAATTCACTTAATACCCCTAATATTTCATTTTATGATAAAAAGATTCTTAATAACTAATAATCAATTTGTTCATTATTTTTTATTTTTAGAATATTTTAACTATCAACGTTTTATTTTAGGATAACAAATATTTATTTTAGAACGTTAATAGTTTGTTAACTAACTATTTCTATCAATAGATAAATATTTTTATCTCAAAATAAAACGTTACAATCAAAATACTTTATAAAAAATAAGAATCAAAATAACTATTTAATAAATGTTAACAACTAATTTTGATATTAGAGCAAACTAAAATCATTCAAATCTACTAATTTTAATTAATTTTAAAATTTATCAAATATACATATTACTTTATTTATCATAACCTCTCCCTTCACCTCATTGAATAACCTTACTTTTATTCAAAAAAAAGAAAAAATAACCTTACTTCATTTTGTTAGCAGAATGAATTAGAAATTTATGTTAAGCGGCTAATTGGAATTTTGTGGTTATTTTCAATTTATTTTATGTTTAATATAAAGAAATTATTTAAACTATATCGTTTTTCTTAAAATGGTATATGAATTTTTTTCGTCAATGCATGTGTCTAACGTTACAACCATTATCATTTTAGATGTTTCGGTTGTAACGACTGTTAAAAAACATGTTAAGTGACACGTATTGCATTCAGATAATTTTGAAAATAATAATTTTTTTAAAATCTTAAATATATTATTATATTAAAAATCCTATTTTTTCTAGAATTACCAAAAAAAACTAAATCCCTAAAATTCCTTAATATCAACCCAAAATCTCTAACTCTAACTTATCATCGCCTTTGCCAACCACGGTCGCTACTACTATTGGTATCTCCCTTATCGGTCATCGTTACTTGAACTTCGGGTCACATAGAGATCGTGACTTTCAATCTTTGGTTTGTCGGGTTCTGTTAGAAGTTTCTAAATCTTTAATACCTGTAGGGTTCGTCGAATTGGACGATTGAGGAGAGCCAAGACGGTGGTTGATTAGTGGACGATGATAGAGGTAGTCATTTGGAAATGACAATGACAACCGATGAAGATAAGCAACGTGGATATAGGGGTTAGATTTAGGATTTTTTTTAAAGTTTTTCAACAATTTTGGGATTATATATATATAGTTTTAATTTTTAATTTTAATTTTTTTAAAAATATATATAAATGTGACACATATCACTTAATGAAATATTATATTTTAACAGTCAGTATGACCAATACACCTAAACTAATAATATTTGTAAGGTTAAATTAATCAATTTACTGAAAAAAATTAAGTATCATTTTAAACAAAATGGTATTATATGTACATTTTTTTCTATTAAGCTTTTATTTTAAAGATATTTTCAAGTATGATACAACCGACAGGGCGTTGGCATTGATTATTTGTCAGCATCGTTCGGGTATTTGTTTCTGTTTTTTAATTCGGCCCTATGCAATGGTGGGACCAGTTGTGGGTCTTGAGAGGCCTTGTATTTAGCACTCGGTCGGTAGCTTGCAATTTAGAAGTTAAGGTCGAATTTGCTTTTTATATGAAGTTAAATTTGATTTTTAATATTATTTTTTATATCATTTAAATAAGTCTTTGATTTAAGTTATTATGTAGGTAAAATATTCTTATTATAAGCATGGCAAAGTTAGGTGCGTAACACGAGTCAATCAGAATCAGTCAAGACAAAACCTAAAAATTTAGAATGACAAAAAATTAATTCTCAATGTTTATTAAATTAATTATTTTAGTTTATAATTTTTTTAATGTTTTAGGTCATAATATATTATTTTAGAGTGAAGGTATTTTTAGCATTTGATTAAATAATAACTTTTATCATTGATCTTTTATGGAGTATTTTGATCTTAACGTTTATTTTTGGGTAAAAACTTTATATTTTGGAACATTAATCGTTTGTTAACTAACGATTTTCATCTGCGAATGAACATTTTATCCCAAAATAAAATAAGGTGTCAAAATATTTTAAAAATAAGAATAAAAATCAAAACGACTATTTTGATAAATGTTGAAATTAATTTTGGTATTATGACATTTACTTTGGTTTGATGAGCTTTTTAACAGGGGCAAATTTTGAAATAAAACGTCTAAAAATAAGTGAAAATTGTTTTATTTTGAGTAATTGGATGAAATTTTTAATAAAATAATAGAACAATGTTTGTTAGATAAAAAAGAGAAACCAGAAAATATGAGTTCCCAATTATCAATTTAAAGTTTTACCCAATTTCCACTTAAAAAACTACAAATTTAACAAGAGAATTAGTTAAAACCTAAAATGTTAAATGATTTTCTTAATTGAAAAAAAAAACTTAACAATGATGGTAACATTTTAAGTTTTGACCCGAAAGTTATTCGATTTACATAATTTATTATGGAGAACGAAATATTTTTTGTTCTCACCTAAAATATTACATAAGTTTCTCGATTGAAAACTCTTAATATTGATGGTAACATTTTAAGTTTTAATCTGAAAATTTATATGATCTACATGATTTATTATTCAAAATATAATATTACTCATTCCAACCTAAAAAAATTACATACTCAGTCAGAAAACCAATTACAACCTAGAATGTTACATGAATTTCTCAATTGAAAAAAAAAATTAACATTGTTTGTAACATTTTACGTTTAAACCTAAAAAAATCCTATCTACATGATTTATTATAGAGAACATTTTCCGGTTCTAACTTAAAATGATATCCTATCCAACCTAAAAAGTGTTATATTCAGTAAGAAAATCGATTACAACCTAAAATGTTACGAGTTTCTCAATTCAAAAACTCAACACCGACGATTACCTTTTATGTTTTAACCTAAAAAGTTATGTGATCTACATGATTTATATGAAAATGTAACATTTTTTGTTCCAACCTAAAATATTACATGTCTAATATAAAAAATTACATATTTGATAATAGTTTAAGTTATAACTGGAAATGCTATATGAGTCTCTCAATTGAAATAAACTTATCACTCATGTAACATTTTAGGTTATAACCGATTATATAAAATAAGTAACTTTTTAGATTAAGCATGATAATATTTTAGGTTGAACCAAAACAATTGTGTTATCCATAATAAACCATGTAGATCATATAAATTTTCAGGTTAAATCTTAAAATGTTACCAAAGGTGTTAATTTTTTTTTAATGAGAAACTCAACTTACATTTTAGGTTGTAACCAATTTTTTTTTATCGAATATGTAATTTTTTAGGTTGAATTAAACAACATTTTAGGTTTGAATCGAAAATGTTATGTTCTTCATAATAAATCACATAGATCATATAACTTTTCAGGTTAAAACTTAAAAACTTACCATTAATATTAAAGTATTTTTCAATTGAGAAATTCATATAACATTTTAGGTTGTAATCACTTTTATTATCAAATATATAACATTTTAGATTAGACAAATAATATTTTAGGTTTAAAAAAATATTACGTCCTTGCTAATAAATCATATAAACAAGATAATTTAAAAAAATTATTTGAAAAATGTATATAACATTTTAGATTATGAAATATTCTTTTAACTAAACATATAACTTTTTTTTTAATTAAAATTAACTAACATTTGAAGTTGAAATTAGATGACATTTTAAATCTACCAATCGTATCTTGAGCCGATCACGCTATAAATTTATCTTAAATGAATTGACGGACAACATGAGGGTGTTACCGTGTTAGAATCAAATATAGTATTTAGGGTTTCTGCGTGCGAAACTGCCTTTAGGGTTTCTGATTTTGAGTTTGAAACACGGAATCAATGGCGTCGTTTGGGTCCCTGAAGTCCGCAATATTCGATAGGGAAGAGAAAAAACAGTTCCGTCTTCTCGTCTCTTCCAAATACAGTATCCTTCTTATTGTTACGAGCACTTACGCATCATTTGAGCTCACTTCATTTTAAATTCTCAATCTGAATCTCAGGCAGTACCAAGCTAACATTCGCGGCCTCAACGCCTTCGATCGCCACAAGAAGTTCTTGAACGATTACGGTAAATTTTCCTTGAGTTTCTTGTTGCGATTAATGCTTTGGTAATATTTCATGTATTATCTCTGTTTTTCCTTGATCTGTTATACTCGTCTAAAATGCTTGCTGCACTATTTATTGCTTCGTTAATTGGGAAATGGACATGAAAGGAATTATGCAAATAGTGAGCGCTTCATTTGTAACATTCTTGTGTCCTAAAACAAGTTGGTTATGACAGTCTTCTCTTTGAGAATGGTAGGAGGTTACAGTCAGCCACACATTTTAGTTTCAATGCTAAAACGAGTCCTGTATGCGGGTTTTGTCTCACGTTTCAGCTGCATCATGTCTTTATTTTAGGGTTATAGTTATTTTTCCTTCTCTTCTGGGTGTCTAATTTTTGCTTTTGATCATCGTTTTGCAGTTGGCTTCTATGGAAAAGAAAAATCTACAGATGTAAAGTTGCCAGTTAAAACAGATCATGATACCCTGAGGGAGGGATATCGGTATGCTTTTGTTGTTTGTATCAGAGGACTTGCACGTCTCTATGTCACTTTATAATTAGTGCTTACATTCTTCCAAGTGTTTTCTATGTTTGTTTTATACATTCTCTTCGAGGGTTTATAATAGTGTTATATATGTTTATATTACCTAGAACTCTTCAAAGTTTGAATGAAACTTTTTATTGTTCTTAATCCGTGGAATTTGTGCACTGTGCTCTATTTGCGTTGAATTGAAGAGAGCAGACACGATAAGGTCTATTGGTCTTGCTTTGTTATAGTCTCCTTTTCAGGCACAAATGGCAAAGTATGACTAGGTAACTTTATATGTAGATGCGTGCCTTTATTTATCAGATATTAAACATTTAATTATATGATTGTAGAAGACAAGTGAATTCAGAGCTGATTGAGTAGCTTGATAAATATTCATGAAGTGGATTTATGAATTATGATCTATCATTATATCAAATTGAGAATATTGAGATACGTGTTAAGATAAATGCTTTGTGATGAGGATGAATGGTTGTTTAGCATATTCAGGATGTTTTGGGGAATGATGGTTGGCCTAGGTTAAAAAGTGCAGGATCAGGCAGAATTACATCAGATATTATTAGTGACAGTTTTATAATGCCTTATTGCCACCTGCAAATGAATATGGAGGTTATTTTGGATGCAGTGTTTTTCTTGCCTGAATTTATGTTCTGGGCAAAGCTCTTTTTTCAAACACGTGACTAATTGTTAAATGGTACCAAACTTTGAGCTTTTCTTTTTTTTTCCTCTTCACATTTAACGATTGCTGAAGGTTTATACGTTCCGAGGAAGATGATGTGAATCCATCCTGGGAGCAGAAGCTGGTGAAGCGTTACTATGATAAGCTTTTTAAAGAGTATCCTTAGCTATTTTATTTTCTTGCTTATTTTGGGGTATTGAAAATATAAAATCTCGATATATGTATGAATGCTCTGTGTCTTCTTATTTCCTAATTGCTTTTTTCTTGACAAATCTCAATTGGGAAGTTGAGTCAGATAGTGCCAGCTCTATCTACTAAGGAATTCATGCATCACTATGGTCTCTATAGAAATTTAGACAGCTAGTGGATAAATGAACATATTTGTGAGTTTCTTGAGCTTTAATTTCAATAAAAAATAGTCGTGACTTGTTATTTGTTCCCTTGAGCTCATTTAAGATACTGCATAGCTGACATGTCACTATATAAGAGTGGTAAGGTGTGTTGCTGCTTATATTTGTAAGATAGATGTTTTAAGAAACTTGCCTATTTCATGATAGTCATTTCGTATTCGTTATGGAAACAAATTCATGTCTAATGCTTTGAGACTTTTACATACTAATTTGAACCAATCTAAAAAAAATGAGAGCCGGAAATTGTCTCTGGTCTGGTGCGTCTCTAAATTTATTGTAATAGTGTCAAGAGCAACCTTATGTTGAAAATGAAAATGGAGATCCATCATTATCTTCTTCTCCATCTCTTTATTCTTTATTTCAATCATACAAGCGTCCATATTATCCTCTTTAGATTGTTTTTTCTATGAGGAATTAATTATAATTCAAGTTATATTTCAATTTTATGCTTTGATGTTGTAGATTGGTTTGAGGTGGCGAACAGAGAAGGAAGTTATAACTGGTAAAGGTAAATAGATTTTTTTCTAGTGTTGACTGCTTTGATTAATACCGATTGGTATGATAAATAGATTTCATTTTGGTTGACACTTGACAGTAATTTATAACTTGTTTTTGTTTTGGAATCTTGTCTTTTGCATTTTTCCTGAATTACATTCACATTCCAGTCTGCCTTGTGCATATCAGAAAGCTATGCAATGCCATTTTATCATTTATTTGAAAAAAATGAGTATATATGGCTATAGTTAATCCGCAAAACTTTTTGGGCAATGTATTTACAAAATTAAGTGGGAAAACTTGATAGTGGTGATAAAAACAGGGTAAAATTCAGGTACTACAAATTACACCAAAACTGGTTGAAAATCTGAAGGCTCAGACCTCTCTAGATGCAACAAAATCTGTTTTGGCAACTGCTAAACTTGTCTAAGTGAAATTTTCAGTTGTACAAGTAATTGATCAATAAGATGGGTTAGAGGTGTGTATTAGAAATGTCCTAAAAGCAGCCAAGAAATCTTTACAGCCCTAACCACCTCATATTTTCATTGATTCTTGTCTACATAAATTTAGCTTAACAATTTGTCTTCAATCATATGATGCTTTTTAAGTGACAATGGTACATCAGTATGTAATTTATATATTATTCTTTTCTATCAGGACAATTTATATGCGGTAATAAGCACTGCAATGAGAAAGATGGCTTAGCAAGCTATGAGGCAAGTGTTTGTACTTGTATTAACCATTTTACTAGAAATCATCTTTTACTCGGGATATGAATTTTTGCATGGTTGGGTAATATTTTTATGTGGAACTGCTGCCTCATCTTTTAGTAGCATTAAGGATGTTGTGGAGAGATGCGGAGTTCCTTTCTCAGTACTGAAATATTTTTTAAAGAAGAGAATTATCTTGTGCAAATATTAAGTTGACGTGGACTATTCACTTTTCTTGGATGAAATTTTCAGGTAAACTTTTCCTATTTTGAGGCTGGAGAAAACAAGCAAGCCCTTGTGAAGTTGGTAACCTGTGAAAGGTATGTAGTGATATCTTATTTTCTCATTCTGCAATTTGCTCTTTCAATCTCTCCTGCTCTCTGTTGGGTCAGAGCTTTCTTTTATCATCTAGCAAGTTTGTGTTCAATTCTTCGTTAGCTTGTCAGTATTCTATAATTTTTCTCTATTTTTTGTCTTGTACTAAAGTTTAGGTTCTATGGAAAAAACTTGCTGGAGAACCGTTGAATCCATTGACAATTGTTGTTTATTTACATCTGTTTTTTTTCATTTTCATTTACCTAGTTAGCATATAAAAAGTTTTAAAAATTTAACAGATATGTGAAGTGAGGCAAAATTGTTTTCTCACTTGAAACGAATGCATGGATGTGTGGGTTGAGAGTTTAGAGGATGAACTGTAAGAACGTGTGAATCCTAGTAAATGCGAATTGTAGATGACCTGGAAGAATGTTTGCTTCTTTCTTTTTGTTGTAAATCCTAGTCTACAGTTCTTTTTCAGATATGGATTAAACCCTATTTGAATAAGTTACCATAATTTATCCTAGGATACACTACATATTGTTGGAGAAGGCACAGCTTTCATCTTAGATCAGTATAATATCAAATCTCTTGTCATCAAGCTCTGCAGAATGATGTTCCAATTTTTTTACGGGGAAAAGCTCTTATATGATCAGAGATTTTTGTTTTTGGGTCAGTAGAATTTGTGTTCTGTCTATGGTTTGTCAATATGTCGTTTCATTAGTTTGTTATGAATCATTTTCAATCATTTTGTTTGATATGTATGAACTCATGCTTAAGTCTTAGGTCTTTGACTGCTTTCTTTTTGTTGACTGTTTGAAATAGATGTGCTGAGAAGCTTCATTACAAAAAACGGAAGGAGGAGGAGGAATTTGACAGAAAGCAGAAAAAAGAATACAAAAGAAAAAGGTGTCAACTTGAGTCCAAAAATCTTCACTAGGAATTTGTTCTCCACTAATTGGAGGAGGATGGTGTCTCAGTTCTCCTTTCCATATTTGTTAGTTGACTCTTGTATTATGTTCAGGGATCAGTCAAAAGACAAAGATGACACAGATGAGTATGAGAGGAGCACAGAGAAGAGAAAAGGTTTTGAGTTGCAATCCATGGTCCTCCATCATTCATTTTCATAAGTTATTTCTTACCTTCGACAGTAACATACCATTATTGTTACTCTAATTCCCCCACACCCCAGTGCAAGTCACTTGGTTGGTGATAAGGATTCTAGAACTTCAACCGACAGGAATCAATCTACATCCAGGGTTAGGAGGGTTGCATATAGTTAATTATCTTTATGTTCAATCCTTACCAGTAGTAATGGTATATATTGAGAAAATGAGTAGTAAACTGATTGAAATAAGTTAGACTAAGTTTGGTGGATGTGGTTGTTGGCGACCTGGCCCTGTCAAGTTTTGAGGACCGGGTTTTTTTCCTAGGAAAAAGTTCATGCCCCCGATAATTTTTCTTAGTTTTTTACATTTTTAGGTACACATTCATAATTAAGATATGTTTATCATTATTTTTACTATTATTCCCCCCTTCTATTTCCAGGTAAAAGGGCTTCATCTTCAGCTGTCAATCAGGAAAGCGATGACGAAGATTTTGATAAGTACCTTGAGGGCATGTTTCCATAATTGTTGGTGAGATTCAGCTGAATAAGTGCAGCCTTTTAGAGTAATTGTTCTGTGCTGACACCAGTTACCGAGCTAGATGCTGAAACTTGTAAATTTGTCCTTGTTCATTCTGCTGCTGACCCTGTAAATTGTACTGATAAAAAATGTCCTTGTTGCGTGTCAACACCAAGTAGAGGAAGATGCGGGAAGAATATAAATAATCAGCACTGCTTATCTACGCAATAGGAAAGACTGATGAGCATGATACGTATCTGGTATTTTTGTTAAATGAGCTTTTTGATGGAGACTGGAGATTTTTTTAACGAATGTAATTTAGGTATAATGATTGGACTTAATGTAAACGCAAATGAGGTGGTGGTTGGCTTCATTTTCAGTAGAAGAATTAAAGAAAAAGGGAAACACAGGTCATTATTTTCATTTGCAAGTCATAGCGTGAGAAGTGAGCAAAGTTCAATTACAAGTCTAATGAAAGGTTTTGGACCGCGGTGGTATCGTTTTAGCGCAGTAATCTCGTAATACAATCAATGTCGGTCAAAACAAGTATTTGGTTTGGTGGTTGCACAGTGTCGCCTCCGAGCAGCTGTCTACTGTTACGGACAATCTTACAGCTTCGACGTTTCTCTTGGTTTTCCAACTGCCTATAGACCTTCACACGTGCCTCCTGGTCTGACCACGCAGTGCAATTAGTCATTGAAATTTGAAATTCTATTACTAGCGATCTCTTTAAATAATTCTTTTCAGTGGTACCACTATTTTGGAGTAGATGATAAGATTTTTATTATTATTATTATTAGCCACTTCATTGACAGCTTACCAGAAAGTAAGAACCAAAGAGGGAAATTCTAGTTTGGTTTTTGAGGGTGTTGAAAATCATTACTCCTTACAATTAATTGTACCTTAATGCGTACATATGGTTTGTTACCTAGGATGAATACAAAAAAGGGGGACATGAACAACGTGAACAAAAGGTTTGTTGAGTTGACGATGGTTTGGCAATTGGCAAAGTGAAAAAGGATGAAAAGGGACGTGGCGAGATCTGGATAAATGGACCCGCTCCGTGCTATCCTGATCACGACACGTTCTGTGTGCATCACATGTGTCACCACTGTCCACACCACACTAATTGAAAATAACAACAACAATAATGCAATAAAAAAATTATCCCCTGGACCTGTATCAATCCCTAGTTTAATATTTTTGGAATCCTAACCCAAACCTCAATTCTGGTTTTGCCATTTTCAAACATTTTCTTGGACCATGTCTATCTGGCCATGCACATACCATAATGGGTAAAAAAAAGGTTTAGCCGTCCACAATAATTTAATAATTTGGTTTGGAGTGACGAGTCTTAAACTTGCTGTCTAATTAAGAAATATAAATGTCAATTAAAACATGTCTTGGCTCTGCAAAAAGTTGTTTTAGGGAAAACATCAGTTGATAATGGCTTCTCAACTATAATCGTATGATTAAAAATATATATATATTTAAAATATATAAAAAGTCAGTCCCTGAAAATAGTTTAAACTTAGAATGAAGGGAAAAAAAAAGGAGTGGAGTGCATATGCGACAAGTGGGGAGTACCTTTCTTTGCTTATACTGCCTCTGCCTATCCATTTGTTCGTACCCAGCAATTCTATATATATTTATGGGTAAATTACATATTTAGTCACCTAACTAACACTTTAATTCAATTTTAGTTATCCAACTATTTTTAAAACCATTATTAATATTACAATCTTTTGTTTCATTTTGATTATCTATCGTTAAAATATTAATATTAATATTAAAGTGTCATCATAAGATAATATCATAATATTATTGAAAAATCATATTAACAATTCTATTAATTTTTTAACGAAAGATAATTAAAATAAAATAAAAAACATAACATTAATGATGATCTAAAGAAAAAATTAAGTGATCAAAATAAAATTAAAATGATAACTGTATTACTATATACATAATTTATCTATATTTATTTATCATTATCATTACAACTAATGAACTTCATCTTCATCCACCACTTTTCTATTTTATTTTTATATATACAACCATAAACAAAAGTTTACATGGTTAGGTTACACTTTTCTCTAATCTACTTCTATATTTAAAATCTATTTTAATATGTTTAAATTTACTACTTAATTTTTATATTTTAATATAATATAATTTTATCTTTCTTTTTTAATAATATCCAACACTATAATAATTTCGCTCAAAATATTACTTCACTTTCTCATTAACTATTTTGTCAACTTTTGACATAATGACTGAAAAGAAAAAAATTCAATATCTAGGACAAAATGGAAACATATATAAATATAGTTTATTATCTCATATAATTTAAAGAACTTATATATTAAATAATTTTTCAACGGACATTACTTAATTTTAAACATATAAATATGGAGAAATAAACATGAACATAAATTATTAAGTGAGAATACTTTTGTCTTTTCCTCTGTGTCTCTGTTATGGTTGCAGAGAGGTAGAGAGCAAAACTGAACCAATCTCCACGACCTTTGCTTCCTCCAATCCAGTCCTTTTACTGTAAGTTCATGTTTATACTATCTCTAAAGATCTTTGTTTTAACCCTCTCTTTTTTTGTTTGATTTATGGGAGTTTGTTCTTTGGTTGATGAGAAAATTCGAGGGAAGAACAGAATTAGCATGAATTATGGGGTGGAATTAGGGATGAAAAATTAGAAATTCAATTACTCAGTTTGTATTTAGTCCCGCTGGATGTTAATTTCTGCTCTCTGAATTTTGAATACGATCTTTCGCGTGCATTTGTTGAGCTGCTAACTTTGAGTGTCGAATTTTGAATTAATGGAATGACCCCTCCTCCGCCTTCTTTTCAACATGATTTTAAAAATTTTCCTCCCGAGAATTTATTAATGTTGTTTGTACTATTATGCGTATGATTCATGTTTACTCTCTCCTTCTCTTTTTCTTGTGTGTGTGTGTTTGTGTGAAGGTTGATGAAAGTTGGACATTAGATTTGCATATAACTTATGTTGTAGTAGATGATGGTGAGTGAGAAGTTGAGATTATTGTTGATTTTTCTGTTTCTTTCTGTTTTTATCTCGTAAAGAAAATTCTATGTTTGGGTTATTTAGCTCTCTATATTGTAATTTCAAAATTCCAGAATAAGGTGTGAGCAATGCCGGCAAAACCTGGGAATGATGATCGGCAGATAGATAATGGTGCTCAAAGGGTGTTGCAGTCAACTTCATACTCTGAACCCTGGTGGAAAGGAGTTGGGACTAACCCCTTTGGTGAATCTGCCTCTAAGTCACCTTCCGTAGAACAACTAAATGGTTCAATGGAAAACGGAGCTGTAGATTTGCTGCCTCATAGTGGCTTAGGCAATGAAGGTAATTCCAGTAAAGAGAATCTGATCAATGTAGGATCACAATCTCTGATTTCTCATATTATTTTAAAGTTGGAATACTGCCTTTTATGTTAAAAGACCACGAGACATTAGTTTTTGGACTTGGCAAGCTTTGTGATTTGGTGTTGGACTGATTCTTTTATTTTACCTTAATCACTTATTGGATTCTTGAATTAGCCTTTGTTCTTCACATGCTGGTAATAGGTTATGATTCTACAAATGGAAGAAAGCATGCATTGTTTTCTTCAAACTAATGTCTGTTTTTCTTTTGGTTCTCTGTCATCCTTAATTCATTTACCTATTTAGTGTATTACAAGTAATGAAAAGGGGGAAATTTGGATGTGATCATGTCTCACAATTTGGAAAAGGGGGAAATGGAAGAAGATGTAGCAAGACATCAAATTTTAGGGGGAAAAAATAATTTTTCTAAGTACACTCTGGATATAACCAGAACGAATGATGCTTCATCTTAATAGGTCTTCTTATTTTTACTATGATCTCTAATAACGAGTCATTACCAATAGGTTACTGCCCTGGTATAGGCTCTTAGCTTGTCGTTCTCTTCCAACTTGTGTGCATTCTATAAACTTACTAGATATACTGGCCTTTTAGTCTCTCCCCCCCCCCCAATACACACACCCCGGATTCCTCAACAGGGTTAGTGTTTTGGGTTGTGAAGATATGACCTTAGTGTTAATTTTTTGAAGATCACATGTGCTGTCTTAGGCTGTTGAGGACAGCGAAAGCCATTTAGTTTAGGTTACAATAGCTGCCATCTGGAAATGATAACTAGTGTCATATAACATATTTGGCCCTTGCTTGAAATTGATGCATACAAACCATTTGTTTTTTTATTCATTGGACATTGATGCTATCTTAGTTTATTTATCAGATAGGAGAAATGGACAAGATCGCCAACATCTCAAGCATGTTCCTTCCGCAACACCCCTTACTTTGGGTGAACACCATGAACCTAATTCTCAAATGGAACTAGTTGGTCACTCAATTGTAAGGCTTCTCTCTCACACACACTAGCCGGTGCACTCACACATGCGCAAACATCAACCGCCACATACATTTATGTACAAAGCATGCATCCATCTGTGTGTTTTAGCACTCAACCTACACATTTTGAGGTCTTTGAATGTCTATGAGTTTATGTTGATTCTCTCTTTGACCGTGGAAGAAATCTTGCTCCATACTTTCAGGTCTTGACATCATATCCTTATTCAGATTCTCAGCATGGTGGAATACTTACTCTTTATGGGCCACAAATGATGGTATGATCCAAGTTTTATGTTATGTGGTAAATATATTGGAGAACAGGAAAATAAAAAATATAGTGATTATTATTTTGCAGTAGATAGGGGTATCTGGTTGCTAGAGACTAGATTATTTTGAGTATAATTTGAATAAGGCAATGTGACTTGTCTCCATTTGAAGAAGACTCTGTGTCTTGTCTTCTTTTGCCTGTTATGAATCGTACCACTGTAAAAGCATACAACTTTGACAAAAGTTCTTGAGATATTGATGCTTGTGTTTAGGATTGTGATTCATTTGCTTTGTATAATGCTCTGCTATACCGTGGGCACAAGTAGTACTTACAAAGTTCATAGAAAATAAGCTAATCCTTTCTTTTTTGCCTTGAGATCAAAGTGACCTTATTGTTAGTAATTTAAAATTTATTTGCTAATTTGTTAACTTTTATGATTTGAATCCTTTTCATTCTCTTTGACCAACATAATTATTCACAGTTTGTTTACAAATAGCTGATGAGCAATATTACCATCTGATTGATCCAATCATCATCTAACCTTTTTCCTTTACTTCCAATTTACCAGAAGTGTAAGCACTTTTGGCACGATAGTTGTTGGTCATTGTTTGCAACTCTTTCTTTAGGAAATTATTTCATCTACACGAGCTTCATGTATTTTCACTGATGGAAATACAGGTTATGAATTTACTATTTTAAAGGTTTAGGACATGTCCATATTACTATTCCACACAGAAGTAATGAACTTTATGCATTCTGTTGCAAACCATATTCAGGTGCCACCACATCTATACGGAATGCATCATGCTAGAATGCCTTTGCCTCTTCAAATGGAAGAGGAGCCTGTCTATGTAAATGCAAAGCAGTATCATGGAATTCTGAGGCGAAGACAGATACGTGCCAAGGCAGAGCTTGAAAAGAAAGCCATTAAAGTTAGAAAGGTAGTTTTGGTATTGTTTTAGGTTTTTACCCTTTTTTCTTGTTTAGTGTTGCCTGGAAGAAATGTACAGCATAGAAAAGTTTCAGACTCAATTCTGTTGCCATTGACTACAGCCGTACCGTCATGAGTCCCGACATCTACATGCTATGAGAAGGGCTAGGGGTTGTGGAGGTCGTTTTCTTAACACAAAGAAGCTGACTGACGATGTTATTAGTCTCACCTCAGGAAAGGGCAAGAATTCGGGTGAAAATGTCTTTTCTGGATCCGAGCGTGAATCTGCCAACAGTGCTGGAAATATGAATTCCTCCTTTGGTCAGCAAGAAGGAAATTGTGCAAGGGATATTGCAAGCGGGTATGGGGCATGACATGGGGCCCCTTCTATTAAATGAAATTTCTCCTTGAGGTGGGTGATTCTCGCCAGCAGGTTTGGCGATTGTTATTTGTCACTGTATGAAAGAATGAGTCATTATTTGTGTTTGTATCTAAAGGGGATCTTCTTGTATATAGGCAGCACTGGAGGTATTCGGTCCTTCGATCTTGGGTGGCGGCGGAATCCCTCTCAGGCAATTCATTCTTGGCTTGGTTACTGATGGTTAAGGGGGTTATGAGGAGAAATGTGGTCTTTTGTTTCATCTTCACTTTGGTAAAAATAGTTTGAACTTCAACATGCCTCCCTTCGGACCCTTTTGTAAAATAATGAAAAAAATAGGTGTTGTATGTACCGAGTGGCAAACAGTTGTGAATGTGCAAAACATAAAACAGATTAAGTTGAGTGTGTATAAGGGCGTGGAGACGTGTAAGAGCTTTAAACTTTTCCAGCAGTGCGGCCTTAATAACGTAAATGGTCTCTCTATGTTTGCTCCATGTTACTATCAAGGATTCTATTTAGAAATGTTGTTTTTTTCCCTATTATTTTCCGTTTCTGCTCATAAAGGAGGGTTTTCCTTTCCTATTACCTTCAACAAAAAAAGGGGAAAAAGTAATGTTTGTGGGGGCTGGAGATATCATATGATCCCAGCATTCCATGATCAGAAAATGTGGGTAATTACATTACCAGGCACAAAAAAAACATAACAAATTGTAGGCAGGTCCTTGAAATTAATGAAATACCCGGTTACCTACACTGATATCAGTAATATAAACTACATCTTTTTTTCGTTTAGGTTGTAACCCAAATTCTCAATTTCAGGTCTTATACTGACATTACCAGCAGCATTCCTAAGATAATACAGACAGAAAGCTCATTCAACTAAAATTAATCAAAAGCACTTCCTATGAACAATAGAAGGCCCGGTCTCATCATAATCTGCCTTGGTTACATGTTGATTTTGTGGAAACACCACTTTAGCGAGAATTGCGCCTCCCACCCATGCCGAGTACATTGCCAAATTCTCTGGCATATATTCTGGAGGCTGCAATTGGAAAAACTCAGAAAGAGACGATCAACAAGAAAGCTAGGTCTACAAAATTAGACTAATAATATTTATTACCTTCACTAGACAAGGACGGATAGCTGATGAGCAGAGGTTTGCTTCTTTCTGGAACCTAGATTCAAAACCTGGATTAAGCACGGCAAAAACGTTAACAGCCTTGAAGCAACAAAAATATCATCATCATAGGAACTAAACCCATATTTTGCATCAAAATTCTTAATACAATACTTATGTTGTAGCTATGAGTGTAGGGTTGATGTACCATTTGGCACTTCCCAGTTAAATACTTGTGTTTGGCTTTCGCTACACAACTTGGTACCTAGAATGGTGTCAGCTTTGTAAATGCAGCCCAATATATTGGACGCTACAAAGTTGGCACGTTTGGCAAGTTGTGTAACAGAAACCAAACATAGGTGCATTAACCCTTTAACATATTATTGATAACTGCCTTATAAGAATCCAGAAATAACCCTCTTCATCATCTGAAGTTGCAAGGATCATAGGATATGATTCTCACCTGTCATAGATGTAGTCCCACCACAAAGAACGGTATTTTCTAACAGCTGCTTCTGGTTCTCAGAAGAAACTGTTGCAACACTACGAACAAGCTGCTCAACAATTCCATGAGCTTCGAGACCCAATATGGATGGTTGGAACAACGCCTCACCAACAGTATATTTTTCTCTTCCAATTCTTATCACCTGAATAGTCATTTGAAGAGCAATCAGAAACATACCAACTCAGGGATCCTAACTGCAGAAGACTTCCCGAAAAAATGCTAGTGATAGAAATGCATAACCAGGTTTAGGGGTGAGCAAAACTAGATTCAACTCATTTTTGAGTTAATTGAATCAAGTTATTCAGATTTTCAAATCAATCGAATAACTTTTTCGGTTTTCCTGTTCGAGTCAAGATGAACTTTCACAATTAGAATATCTGAAAACTGATTCACAAATAGGTGTATATACTCATTGGGTCACTGTCAATTTTGAAAATGAGCAAATCTCTCCCTCAACAGAAAAAATTAAAATAATCTTCAAACTTTCAAATATATATATATATATATATTTGATAAGAAGAGGAGACTCGTTATATATATATATATATATAATTCTTTAAAAATTCTAAAATATTCTCAAAGCAAATTAAGTCGTACAATAATTAATTCTTGAGTTGAAGTTTTATTAGGTTTAAACATTAAATAAGTAAACTATCAAACCTAGTTTATCTTATTTAATTCTATTTTTTCTTACTTTTCTAAATTTTTATATATATGCTCTCATTTATGAACTTTGACTTGAAATTTATTCAGATTGTCAACGACATTTTAATTTGATCTATTTAAATTTTTTTAGTCAACTCGAAAAAAAAAAATATTTGATTCGTCTCGATTTGAATTTTTAAACTCAACTCGACTCAACTAAAAAAAATGAATAATAAAATAGGAGTCGTCGAATCAACTCAATTGAATACTCATCCCTAGCCAGGTTATCAGTAAAAGCAAAGAATACCAATAGTACATGTAAATAAGATCAGTAAGGGAACTGTCAACTTATTATATCCCTGACATCTGGCACAATTTCTTGGTAAGCTTCTTGTTTTAAATTCAAAAAATCCAAACTGGAAGTAGCAAGATTATATAAGTCTTTTAAGATGTGGGGCACAATACTAAAATGTCCGACTATAGAACCAGAAGAGCGGGTAAGACGGAGAGGCCTTTCCTCAGTTCACTTTGATAAGCTCATTACATAATAGTACTCTTACCATGTTCTAACATTTCACATTTGCATTATCTTCTAGAATTTAACAGCCAAATTCAATAGAAACCATCACAATTACTAGTACATGTCGATATAAGACATAGAACTGATGATAACAGATCATAAACTATTCATCTCTCACAAAATCTGAAGGCATACACATCTCATATATCATTTTTAGTCAGTTTCTTTTATCTTCTTCTCTCCCGGTCTTTCGTTTAGTATTATTACAGCGTATAAAGAATACTCCACTTCTTCTTCTCAAGTATATTATGAAGATTTCTTATATCCATAACTCTTTGTCAATATTCTACACACTTAGGTCTACAATTAGATTTAAGGAGTTAGGTCAAAATCAGAAACCTAAACAAGGGAGGACGGAGAGGATAAAAGGAAAAAGACATACCTGTCCATCAGGAAGGGTATGTTCCTCTGTCTCACAAGTTCTAAGTATTCTGTCATAAGCAACTTCATCCTCAGCACAACATGTGAATTGCTCTTTTAGTTTCTCAGCATCAGAGATACTGAGGTTCACCATAGGATTTGATTTACCCAGCTCTTGAGCAAGTAACTTTGTCAAATCACTACCTCCAACTTCGAATCTTCTTGAGGCAATGTGCTGGACAGCACCTTCAAGTACCGCAGCTATGTCTGTTGATAAAGGTGCAATTCACATGGCAGTACAGTCAATTAAATAAACAAAAAGGGCTTTGCAGCTTAAAGCCAATTGAAGGTAACTCCTGACATATCATCCGCAGCTAACTTCCAACTCTATGAGGTAAATAAACACTTGACCAGCTAAGTTCTTATACATTTGAAAAAGAACTTGAAAGACAGCTTCATGCTGGTCATATTTCCATTTCTATGAGCCAACAGACTTATGATGTCCACACAAACATGAACCAAGCAGCCAAAAACTTAAACAGCACATTCATAAAAGGCATACAGATACATACCTATCTTCCCATGACCAATATCAACAGTACAACCTGAGATACGCCCGACAGCATAGAGAGATAATACTGCTTGCTCCGACGCATAAAATCCGGAGACATTAAAAGTTTCAAATAGCAATTGCACCAGTTGTTCTCTGACAGCCTGGAGAATGATTATTTTTAAGGAGCAACAAAAGTATATTGATTTTGCACCATTTATTCGCATGGTAATAAATCTCAAACTGTAAAAAAGTAGGCTAAAATGATAAAAGAGGTTGTAACAGAATTGTTGATAGCCTTGATCTTGGGTTGACTGTAAACTATACCTAACATAGCTGCAAGAGTACAAAAAATTATATCCACAACAGCAACAGTGCATGGTTGACCCATCTTCCGGAGCAGCTTATCAACCAAAAAAAACTGAAGATGACAAAAAAGGGTTCACAATTTTATAAACGAATTCAAGTTGACAGCACTTGCAGAAAGAGAATACCATGTAAAACATGTACTCTAGCAGCTCCAAACTGGGTCAAACATGCTTCAATTCTTTGAAATACCTCATTAGAACTCAATAAAATGGGGATGGCTAATGATTTAATAGTTGCTAAATCCCTTCTACAATTAAAAGCCATGACTAGAACAGACGCCTGAGATCTACATTTGGAACAAGAAAACCTGCCATAGTCTGTTTTTTCTCATGAATATGCAAGAGCAACCTTAGAACTGCATACTGTGAATATCAAGATTAGCAAGAATAAATGAAGGCAACTAACCTTGGGAGTACAAAGTGGTTCAGTAAACAAAATTTGTCCTTCATTCCCAACTTCCCATTCAAGACCAGTGTATAGAACATGGTGCAACAAATCTTCCATTGCATCCCAGTCTTTAACGCATCCTTGCACGACGGGATCAACAGTGACATCTTCGGATATTGAATTATCTGCAGAGGATCCATCGTCCAGCATGCGTTTCATTTGAGTAGGAATTATCTGACCACAATTCAAGAAAATACAAATTGTCAAACCCCAAACCCACAGAAGCAAATTCAACCAAAATTTAAAAAAAAAGGCTCTTACTCAAACCATGTAAAGAAAGAGAATAGTAAAGGAATAGAGAGGGAGAGAGACATTTCAAGCTATCCCCAAATCAAAAGCTACATTTTGGTTGGGTTGATGATTCTTTAACTACTATCATTAAGGAGGTTTCGAAATAAACAAGCATACCAAGGATGGAGCCTGATCTGGGATAGCGAATCCCGCCTTGAGAATCTTGGAGCCAGCATCGACCACTACCGCCTCCATGAGGCCACGAAGAAACGAGCCCCAAAACCGACACTCTAATTTTCAATCGATGGATGGGGAAAACCCTAGATTTGACGACTAGTATTTTAGCTAGAAGGTAAATGATAAAGCTCTTTCTTCACTTTCACTTCACTTCAAAATGGATGATGTATTTTGAAAGGCTCTGTTACAGCTACCACTGTTATTTAGGTTAAAGTAACCAAACGGCCTCTTAACTTTTAGGACGTATTAATTTAGTCATAAATTTATTTTTACAATTGAATGATTCAAATTTTAAGTTGTTTATTTCAATCATTATTGTTAAATCTCTTTGTAGCATGTCAGCAGCTTATGTCAAATATTATAAAAGTGAAATTATACATTTGTTTGAGATTTATAATATGTTTTGAAATGAAGTGACATATTGTTAGAATATTTAATCGTGGTAATTGAATTTAATATTTTCTATTAATTATAATGACTAAATTAAGTAGTATTTTAAAATTTGAGTGACTCTAATATAAGGATTTGTTTTTGATAAAACTACAAGCATCTAAAAAATTAAATGACCATTTGTTTGTACTTTTTTCTACTATTTAAAACTAAACAATCCTCATATTTAAGTTTTATTTATTGAAAAATTGTGTTGAGAGACCTCTAATCTTATTTAGATATCTCGTCGGCTTGATCATGTATATAAACTAGACATATGAGATTATCAAATATAAAAAATTCAGACTGAAAAAAGAGAGAATGTAATATCTATTAAAATATTAAAAGTATTTATTAGAAATTAGAATACCATGGAGAAGGTTGGTTTTTGGGAGAACGATGTGCCAATAACAGGTATGAAGTCCATACACTGGCTCAAGTTCCACAGCGTCTACCAATCAGCGAGCAACTAGGAATCACATTAACAATCAGTATTATTCTATAACTTCCAAGAATTAACAGTCAAGATTAAGTTTCAAAAACACAAACTAGGGTATTTACAACATGATCGGATGTAAAGCAAGTAGTTGTATTTCATATAAGGCTTGTTACCCCAACTTCATGGTCGCTACATACAGGATAATCCAACTTTTCAACCTCCAAGTTCAAGAGCAGCATGCTGCTTACACAACCATCCGGATCCATTGAATCCTGCAAAGTCGGTTCCCCATCACCTACATACGCATCCAGGTTTTCAGCCTCCAAGTTCAAAGGCGTACCATTCCAATCCACTGCAAAATTACCAGTTATGGGCCATGCTGGCTCCCTTTCCTCCACAGAAATCAACTTGCAGTCTTCACCAGATTGAGAACCATCATCAATTTTTTTAGAGCAAGATGCAGTAGCATCTGTGACTTGCATGTCAGACAAAAGGGCTTCAAGGGACGACTTGCTACTGGAGTTGTCTTGAGAAGTAAACTTTACATCCAGGATTGGAGTTTCAAAATCCACTACAGAAGAAGCATATGATAATTCCAGAATATTTTGCAGAAACTCTTCGTGGGGACCTTGTTTGCCTACTTCTGCTTTAATTTTCTTGTTTCCAGGAGCACTTTCCACATAAACATCAGAAGCATCATCAATGTGATTTTCAAGGTATTCGTTAAGGATATCTACTTCATCAAGAACCACAATTTTGCTTGTTGCATTGTTAACCTCCCCATCTCCCATGTCCCCTGCTATCTGGTGTTCATGTTTGGCTGGAGTATCAATACAGTCAAATGTGTCATGGCAAGGGATATGATTTTGACAGTCCTCAACAACTTCCTTAGCTGCTTGCTCAGAATCATCGTCATTAAGAGAGCACGTCACCTCCTGGATCTTCTCTAAAGAACAGTCGGAGGGCACTGATGCTGTCATTGAATCCTTTCCATCTCTTGTGTCAAGACAGCAAGGTTCAGATGTTACTCGAAAATGCGATTCTGGTGACACCATTTTATCAATACTATCATCTTCCTCAAGTGAAAATTCAGGAACTTTTACAACTAGAGCTTGAGTATAATTCTTTGGTTCCATGGAAGCTGAAGAAAGGAAGTTGGAAAGGGCAGATGCTAATGCAGCATCAATTGACACAGACTGCTTTGGTTTATCCTTAGGAGAACCAGTTTCCGATGCGTGGTTATCTTCCTCATCATCAGCATTAGAAAAATCAGGTGCAGTGACAACAAGACTTGGGAATGGCCCAGTACCATGTACAGAACAAATACTTTCATCAAGTTGGTTAGTTGATGGAATATCCTTCTCATGTGATGCATATATCTTATGGACTGAAGATTCATTTCCAATGTTACAAGAAGAGCAATTATCTGAATTGTGGCATGAAAATTCAGGCACATAGAATCCTGTGCAAGTTGGCAATTCAGAATTCTTAGGGTTCTTAGTGAGTTCTCCAAGCTGCTGCTCTACACGCTGGAGCCTTGCATCAATGCTGTTTATAGGCTTTAGCATGTTTTCTTCAAACTTCAATAGGAGATCTTCTACTCTGCTGATTCGAGAAACAAGCTCATTCAGGGATCTCTCAGTATGCCTACATGCTACTTCAGCCCGGGATGCTACATGTTTACATGGGGGTATCTCATGTTGATTCAGTTCAATAGTTGCTGCAATCTCTTCATGTATGTTCAAGTCCTGCTGATTGGCTAAACTGTGTTTTACTTCTTGCAGGGTTTCATTTCTAAAATTTAATTGTTCAATGGCCTTTGGCCCATTTCTTGTTTCTTTTCTTTTTCTTTGTGGCAAAAACCTCTTCATTTTCTATGCGGCGATGACCAGCTGTTTTAGATAATTGCAGAAGTGTGGGAGCAAGCATGGCCATAAGAGAATTTCCTCCTGCATTTCCCATCTTACCGACTTCAGTTTCTGAATCAGCTATATCAACAGGATCAGCAAACACATAGATTTCATCAACACAAACACAGCCTTTATTCTGAAGCGAAAGCAGACGAAGAGTAATAGACAAGCATGGGTTGGCGTCATTGATCTCAGCAGTAGCCTCATATAAATCCTGGAAAATTTCATTAATCACAGATGGATTAAAATTAAGACACACCTATTACTCTATGCAAGTGTTACACTGTTAATCTTGTGTTGGTATCTTCTCCGGGGGGCATCGGCCCACGGGAAAACGTTTGCAGATGCGACCATGAATCGAACCAGATCAAAACATTCAGCTGTAAGGATAAAAATAGAAAAGGGGAAAGAAAGGACTATCTTGGGTTCCTATTCTCCCCTTAAAACTAAGCTACGATGCAACTATGTTCTAAACCAACTACTACCTACAATTAAAATTACAGTCTTTTTAACTTGAAAGTTTTAACTTGGCTCGTTAATTATTTACATATCTTTGACCAATTTCTTTACTACTTTTGCATTCTATTATTACTTCCCTAATCAAATCTTTTGTACATGCATAGCAATGCAAGCCCTTTTTTTAAGTTTCTCTACAATTTCCCATGTAGTCCACTCTCACAGACCACAGCTGCACCAATTGGATGGAAATAGATTAAGGTAACCCTTTTACCTTTCAAAAATACCAAGAGCAAACAGTTAATACTATAGATGCTAAGAAAATGGCAAATAATGAAGCCTTGCTTGGGTGAATCAGCTATTAATACTTACGGAGGGATGGGTAACTCACCTGTGTGTTACTTGAGTTCAGAGTAGAATTTGATGGGTCATTGCTTCCACTATCAAGCAGAGGAGTATCAGGAGCTTTCACTTCAACCCAATCATCTTCAGTGGAGGTGGAATTGCTATCACTCTTCAGTCTCTTTTCGTCCAACACTGTATTACCTCCTTTTAGATCAGCCAATGCAGATTCATCAAAATTGATTGCTTGAAGCACCTCTTCATCTCTACAAGCAACACCGCAACGAACAGTACAGAGATACTCATTACTGCTTTGAGGTTTAGGAGCACAGTATATTTCATATACTCGAGCAGTACTTCGGACATAAACCTGTCTAACTTCGTGGCTTTGTGCAAACGCAACTGCAAGCATGAGATGATTAAAACATAAGGCAAGTCAGGAAGAATACAAGAGTTTGGTGGGGAAGGATAATTTGTGGAAATTCTTAACCTTGCTTGATTTCATTCTATGTCAAAATAAACTCCTACCAGTCAAATTTAGATGGAACTTGATAAATACTAAAAAATAAGGCTAATAAATTCAAATCGTCAAGAATAAGTAGCTTCCCTGATTTAAATCAAAAGGTTGACAATTCAATCAAAGGAACGAAAAACCAATGACCTAGAACGATCAACCAACACCATAATATCTTTTTTCGATGTTTAATCATATCAATGGGGTCATATTACTTACTCGTAATCTCACAGGGGCCGGAATCAGGTGAAGTGGGACACAAGATAAGGGGATAATTAGGAGCGGAATCGACGGCGTTTGGGTCATCGACGCCGGGCTCATGGGGATCGCAACCGGTGATTGACGCAAGTGTTGATTCAAAGATAACGGAGTTACGGAGAGAACCATCGGCGATAGACCAGTTGGTGGAGGACTTCCAAGAAGCGTCGTAGTCGCGGACAGCATCCATGGTTGTACCGACTGAGAGATTTCTTGGATTTTGAATCTGTTTCGTAAGGGACAGGCAATTTGAAGTGTTCGATGTAGAGATGGTGGTGAAGTCGTTTCTTAAGGGTGCTTTTGTGGACAATTTCGCCTCACTGTGGTTTTTTCTAGGATCGCAATCTCATACGTAAGGCGTTCAAACTTCTATGGAAATCGAGTTCACCGCCCCAATTGAGATAATTTAATTATGACTTAAATATCAAATAAACTTTTATAATTTTTTGGATTCTTAATATCACCTTTAACTTAATCAAAAAAAATAATTTTAAAAAATAATTATTATAATTTATTTAAAATTTTAACTAATTTAATTTTAAAATATAATTGTAATAATTTATTTAATATTTAAAATTTTAATTATTTTAATTTTAATTTTTCGTCTATTAAAAATAGTATTAATAGTTGTTAAATTGATTATAATATATATTTAATAGCATTTCGTTTTAAAACAAACTACATGAAAGATCACTAACGTTTGAATATGTTTTCATTTTTTCAATTGAACTTTCACCAGCTCATGTAACCGCTCTCTACATCTCGTCGCCACCTAACAAACACCAACAATCAAACTAAAAAAAAACAGAAGAGCAATAAGTGATCGTTGCTTTGTTTTCAAAATTTTAAGACTCGTGTGAAAAGGGATTGATCGAGATAATCGTCCTCTGAAAATTTAAAATTATCATATATTTTAATTTTTTTTTTATATTTTTTATTAAAAATATATTATCACCCCTAAAATCTTATAAATTTCGTACCATAGTATAAAATCTTATGTTTCTTACGTTCCTGTATGTGAAAACAATTGTGTTCATAGACACCAAAATAGTGGAAGCCAACGGCGACAGTCTTCTGGCCTTGGCGGTGAAATGACGGACGAATAGAGACAACGTCTTCCATGTCTCTTCCCCTTCCACAAACTGAAGCGACGCCAAATTTAGGATATATCTTTGAACCAATCACAAGTAATAACAGCAAAGGGCTCGAGTTATTTTTTTAATTATGGTTCCTTTCGTTTTCAATATGAACTTCTTAAGTTTCACCATTATTTTTTTCCCTTAATCTGAACTGGATTCATCTTCTGCATTTTCACGGTCTAGAGAAAATAAAACAACATAAACCTGAAGCTTTTGCTGTTTACGGTCGTTCTCAACCTCCGATGGAGTAAAGTCCATGAATTTGAGTCGTCTAATCTCCATCCTACGTCTCCTAGTTGCATGTGAACTGGACTCCCTCCAGGTGCTGATGCTTCACCTTCATTCATCACTCTGCAACAGATCTCCGCCGTCAACCACTAAAGCAAACGTTTTGAGATGAACAATAGTTTCAGCAGCAAGCATCTCTGTGTAAAGCCATGCATGTTTTGAGATGAGGTGTGCAAGTGTCCTATAATGATTATCAGTCCATTCCATCATGGGAGCTATGCTGCAAACCCGTAACATTCTCATTCATAGAGTGCTTGCAAAAACGAGGGGAAAGCTATGCTTAGGCCTGTAAATGAACTGAACGTTCAGCGAACCGTTCATGAACCGTGCGGCGGGAAGTTCGTTTATGTGCGTTTATTTATTAAATGAACGAACATGAACAAGATTTTGTGTTCGTTTAATTAAATGAACGAACATGAACATAGGTCTCGTTCGTTCATTTATGTTCGTGAACATTCAGTTTTGTTCGCTTATGTTCGTTCGGTTATATTCATTCATTTATGTTTAACCCAATCTTCTTAAATCAATTTTAGTGACCAATTTGTAAGTATCTTAAAAATATTAATTAATCTGATATTATGATGACCAACTCTATAATTAACCCAATTTTATTTGGAGATTAAATCCAATATGTTAACCCGTGAGGCACCTCGCACTTATATTCATTTTCCACTTTTTTTCTCAAATCCTAATGTTCACTAGAGAGTGGAGACTATCGCTGAAAACTTCAAAACAAGTTATATTATAGTACAATCTGAAGTTTACAAGTCTGTTTTCATCTCTTTCTCTGTTTTATTTGGCTTAATAGTTGATATGTAAAGTTATTGCGGGTATCTTCACATCAAAAACTCAAGAAAACATCATACTTCTTTCTAGAAATAGATGGGAAGATAAAGGTAACAATCGGAAGTATATTAGCATCAGTAAAGAGAAAAATATAATAGAATTTGCCATAAAACAAAACAAATGTTTCTATGCAATTTTTGAAAAATAGTGTAATAGCGGAAGTAATAGGTTTTCCAGAAAGTAATGGATTTTCAAGGAAGAACCCATTAATAAGTAGAAAATACACTTTGACAATGAACTTTTGTTTTCATAGTTCTTGTGTGACCTTTAGTTGTGGAGTAGACTTTTGATACGTTAAAATTTTGAATTGTGGTTTAGCAATAATATCAGTTACGATATGTAGCATCGAAGGGATTTCAGATCTATGTATTGCCTTGTAGTCCAATTTGTACCGTTCGAAATCTTCATGCTGTTAAATTTTCTACTTTACCAACGAAAAGGACCATTATTAACAAACCTCACTAAAGTCTGACATTGATGTCACAAAACTTTTAGCCGGTGAATTTATTAGAATAACGTAGATTTGGTTGATTTGCATTGTTGACTATTTTTCATAAAAGAACAATGGAAGGTATGGTCTCTAACGTTTATGTTCGTGTTCATTTATGTTCGTGTTCGTTTATGTTCGAGTTTGTTTATGTTCGTTTATTTATTAAATGAACGAACATGAATAAGTTATATTCCTTAATAAACGAACATGAACAAAAAAAAATGCTCGTTTATGTTCTTTTATTTATTAAATGAACGAACATGAACATAAATCCGTTCGTGTGTGTTCGGTTCGTTTACAAGCCTAACTATGCTGAAAGCTTCACCATCCTCCTGAATTTTATTTCTAATCTTTTAAATTGATATTCAAACTTAAAAACATTTCAACTAAATTATTGAGATATAATATTATATCAAAAAAAATTCTCGTTGATGATTAACTTGAACATTAAATGTTAATTCACGTTTACAGGCCACTTTATTCTAAAAACTCAGTCCACTTCTGTGTGTGGTTCAGGTTCTTTCCATAACTGAAAACCCGACATCATCTTCCCTTCTTCGATAATTGTTTTTTTTTCCTCAGTGCTTTCCATGGCAATTCTAAGCTTCAATCCCACAATAATCAAATCCCCATCACTCCAATATCAAAAACCAATCTCAAAACCTCAGTTTTCCACGAAACCCAACAATGTATCATTCCTTTTTCATCTAAAAACCACCAACAGCTGCACCTTTTTAAACCAAACTCAGTATCCGAAAGCTCGGTATCAGTACCGAAAGAAGCTTTTTATGACGGTGAATACGATGACCCAACTTCAGAATTGAGCTATCTTGACCCGGAGATCGATCCCGACAGTGTTACAGAGTGGGAGCTGGATTTTTGATCGAGGCCAATTCTAGATATTAGAGGGAAGAAGATATGGGAACTCGTAGTATGTGACAGTTCGCTTTCACTTCAATATACCAAGTATTTCCCCAACAATGTTATCAATAGTATCACTTTGAAAGATGCTCTTGTAACCATAAGTGAGGATTTAGGTGTCCCTTTGCCAGAAAAAGTTCGGTTCTTCAGGTAAACTTTTACTAGTTTTCTTGTAACATACGCTAATATCCCTATATTGTTAGATAGCATTATGAATTATCTTAATTGGCTCATGTTTTGTTGGATTTATAGGTCGCAAATGCAAACCATAATCACAAAGGCGTGTAAAGTGCTTGGCATAATGCCAGTTCCAAGTAAACGGGTGAGTTTCTGAATCTTTTCTTAAAGTAATGAGTTTTGCTTCTTAGGGTTTCTTACAAGATACAGATTATAGCTATAAGGTTAACTTTTCAGCTTCTAATTGCAAATATGAAGATCCATATGCTTATGTTCTATGGTTAGTCCTTTTTCAGTGTCTGTCACTGCTACTTTGGTTGGAAAAACGTTATGAGAATATATATATGCGCCATCCTGGTTTTCAAAAAGGTTCCAAGCCACTTTTGGCTTTAGATAATCCTTTCCCAATGGGCATTTGTTCAGTTACCTATTTCAGGTATATCTTTCACATTTAATGGCGTTCAAAATAATATATACTACCTGCAATTGTCTTCATTTCTCAACTAAAATGTTAGTATATTCTGTACAATATGCTCTCTTTTGACGTCATTCTCTCGTTCGATTATAGCTGTTTGAGAGGAGATTTCGTCCTTGGACGAAAGGTTCGTGTTTGGTGCTGGTTTAGATTTGGATTTACTAGGAATTGAAGTAGATGACAATACATTGATTCCAGGACTTGCAGTGACTTCTTCACGTGCAAAACCATTAGCAGGCAAGTTTATTATCTCTTTGGGTGTTTCCTCATTTACCATTTATGCAATGCAGTAGCATGTTTAATCTATTTCGTCCAATGAAACCATAGCTATTCAACAATGAGGATTTCTTGAAAACCAAATTTAAGGGTCCATGAAAACGTGTTGGTGCAGCTTGGATGAATGGATTGGAAGTGTGTTCGGTAGAGGCCGACATCGGTAGCGGTGGCTTGATCCTATCTGTTGGATCGTTATGTTTATGCAACATATAAGAAAACACCAACAACCACAAGTGAAGCTGAAGCTTGGGAAGCAGCAAAGAAGGTATGTGGATGATTACATTTCCTCGCCATCCAAGAGGACTTGGATTCGGATGATTGCGCCGGGTTCTGGCTCTTGTTGGACTTGGCGTCACCCCCTGTATAATTAAGAATCAATTTACGTTAATGGACCTGTCCTTTGGTTCTAAACTTGTATTGATTCCAATGAATATAACCAACTAGTTTTCAGGTGTACATGGCTCAAATATTACGCTTATAACTATAGATTTCAAATCATTTTGGATAATTTCAAATATGTTGAGTTTATTAAGATATTTTTCAACACTTCCTATCGATTTTGGAAGATTTCTTGGCCTTCAGAAATGCAGAAACACCTGCACCTAAGATATGGGAATCAAACGTGAATTCAGAAATGCAAAATTGGGATGGGATGTGTAAAAGAAATCGGACAGTAGTCCATTCCAACCACTACGATAAAAAGCGTCAATGGGACAGCCTTAGATTCTTCTTCACAAAAAAATTAACTGTAACTGCCGGAAAACAAAATGCCTATGCTATTAACATTTAGTACAAGACAACTTTCAGATTAGAAAAATGGGGGAACAAAAATCTCTACAAATCAACTCACTAAGAATAAAATAGGGTTCCGGCTTCAAATTTTTGATCTCTTTTGTTTTTGAAGAACAAAACGAACGCCTTGCTTCCCAAGTTCCAACGTCTTCATTCTACCATCATCTAACCTGACAGATAATGCGGACGTGCCCTCAATGCTGCCCGTTACAGCTCCTTTGTGCCTGCTTGTTCAATTTCAAAACAGATTAAATTCTGGTAACGTGCCTCAAATCTAAAACCTACATTTATTTCAAAACAAATTAAATTCTGGGAAAATGGAGATTAACTACGAAAATGAAAACATCACAAATCCTTTTTTTTTCTAATTCTAGAGCTCGAATTCAGAAACGAACATGTGCAAAAGATCTAGAAAGCCATAGGACAACAATTTACATCTTGAATTGTGGTTTTTTCAGTAGTAAAGAGAAAGCCAAATCTTAGCATGAATTGTCAGAGGCCTGATGAATTTCAACTTTCTTTCCAACTGCATCTTTACCCAACTTCTTTAAAATCCAACTAGCGTCCATCATGCCATCCATTAAACTGTCTTGATTAGATTGTGTGAAATTAACATCTTCATCTTCATTAAAAAATGATTTCTCCATGAAGGGTAATGGTCTCTTTCTTTTCGACCTTTGGCCCTTTATAGAACTCTTTTCTTCATCATATTGAACCTGAGAATTCTGATTGTCAAGAACAGGTTTCTTCAATTTAAACTTAAGAGATGGTTTGGGATCTTTTGGCAAAGAATTCAAGATACGCGTGTGGCCATAATCTTCACTGCTTTCACCATACATATCATCTCTGTCTTCCAACTGCTTTCCTGACACCACCTTACCCCCTCTTAGCGTGGAGACATCACCAGAAGGTGCAGCAGAGAGCCTATTTCCATCTATGTTTCCTTTTCCTAAGGCAATACGTGTGTGTTCTAGAGGAACAATCCCATGTCCATCAGAACTGTTTGCTGCACCAACTTTAGACCTCGATTCAGGGATTTCTGACCTAATTTTGCCAAACTTTATCAAGTTCCCTTCTCTTCCCATAATTTTCACACCTCTTGACTTGGTGGAGCGATCAACTCCATCTACTGCAAACAGAATATTTACACTGTCACAATGAAGAACATTGAAAGAAAAACACCTCCCAAATGGTCACCAATTCCAGAACAAAAGCAAACTTTTTTAACATCAAAGAAATGGATCCATGATAAATATATTACCATCACCAGATTTAGCAGTACTTTCATGCCTCTCCAGAAACTTGTCACCAATTCTATGTTTATTTGCATCTTGAACACCTAATATCAGTCAGACGTGAGAAGGCAGATCAGTTTTCAGATTAAAGATCAAACCAGAGATAATAACTAACCGTTTTATTGCATGTCTCTACTATCTTGTTCATTCTATGAATAAAATCTAAACAAAGAAAAACCTAAAGTTAATTTGGTGCAGCTAAAATATTAAGTTGCAATCTAGGAGTATACACTTACAGCACATCAGAGGAAATGATGAATGTCTGACTGTAAAGAAACATAATCATCATAATATGTGAACCCATGCAAATACAAGTTATATTATAAACAGGGTAAGTGAAGCCATACCATTGTAAGAAGTAACATATTGATCTCTTTGAAAGCTTGAAGCATCAGACATTGGGGAGCTGGTAACATTTATTTTCTGTGCACCAAGATTAATGACTAATTTCCTAGCTTTCACAGTCTTTGACTTGCTACTATGTTTTCTGTTGTCATCTCCACAGTCTAAATCGTGTGATTTATTGCTTTTGATTTTAATAACCCGAGATGTTCTATCTTCATCACCAACCATCACCTCATCTACCAACTTGTGTTTCAAAACCCCTGGCTGATTGGTAGAACAAATTCCAGCAACAGGAGAAAAAATATCTTGTTCTTCATTGTTCCTGTCATGAACTAAGCTGTATCCTTGAGGTTGTATATCCTGATTCCCCTCTAAACTCAGCTGTGATTCTCTTTTGCTAAACAAGGGTGCTTGGTGTGCCTTTTTCTTGGGATGTTTTTTGCTTGAAGACTTTTTTCCATATTCCTTGTTCTTTTTTGGTGATTTGTCAGCAAGACCTTTCAGTGAGAACTTCAGGGAACGTCCAAATTCATTTTTTAGCATCATAGGACCATTTTCCTCATCATCTGAATATGGAGAGATGGAAAATATTTCTTCTTGAGTTGGCAGCCCAGCAGCAGCCCTCAGGCTAGCTATCAAATCTCGATCAGCTATGTCTCTTCTCTCCCAAAGCTCTCGAACAGCATCCTCAAGATCTGTAACCTGATAAAACATGATGACAGCAATCATAAGTTGAAAAGAATCCTTTGCCTATATCCCTTCAGAGAAAGAAGTGGAAAGAAGGAACACTGCAATTCAAAACTACCTGGTAGCACTCTCCACGACAAGTTGCACATTTATATTGGAGATTTCCATCTACTTGAAACTGCAGATATTTTTCATCACTGCAAAACACTTCTATCATATATATAAAATTTTCCAAAAACTTGTGTGGCTGTTATAAGGCTGAAACAAGGCACACTTGCTTTTTTCACTAGCGTAATAGAACTTTGTAAGGAAACGGCTCTTGCGGAGGATTTTACAGAATCTTGAGAAGTTCAACCATTTATTTTGACACTATATTTACGAGGAATAAACCCACTGGACTTGATGAATGATGAACAACAATCTATAAAATAAAACACTCACACACAAATTCATAATGACAGCAACTGCCCTCTTCATAAACATGCAATAAACAATAAAATATAGAAGAATTAGATTGGTGGATCTTTAAAAGTAAAAAGGCAGCAAGAAACCTGATGCCATCACAGTGGCAGTGCACCCAACGCTGGCAAACATCACAGCAGACCATTGGAGTTGATTCGGAGTCCCTGTAAACCTGTAAGGTTGTAACAAAAAGCCTAGTAAGTTCATTTTCTTTAGATATTCATGAAGCATGATAGGTTCACACGGTTGCCATAATCAATAAATAAAAGTAATTCAGAATACCAGTATTTATTTTCCTTCCGTTTGAAGGAACAATTTTTAGGGAATGAGATTCTTTCAAAACTCTCTAAGCAAACCTTAAATTGGACCACGTAAACACTGTTGATAATCACAAACATTGAATTTACCTTCAAACATACAGGGCAATAATTTCCCTTCACAAACAACCTTCCACAAGCATCACAACAGGTGTATCCCAAAAACCACCTGTGATAGATAAAAAAATCAATTCAGATATTAAGACTAAAGAAATGCTTCAGCAGGAGGCCGAAAAATCATTAGCTATCAGTTATCAAGCTCTAAAAATGCAAATGACATATTAAACAGCTTCAATAGTTGAAAAGAAAAACAAAGAATTAATCTACACAGAAAGGAGAAATTTTAGGTGCAAAAGCTCTGCTTCCATTGGTTACTAATCATACCGCACACTTAAACCATTTCCAGGGACATTGGATCCACAGCTGTGACACCTTGTATGTTTTGGGCACAGATATGGCCCAGAAGAAATATTCTGCATAATCCAGGGATTATGTGAGCCATTCTATTTGTAATCAATGTATAAAACTAAGCACAAGAAATGCAAACTTAACCTTATGTGAAGGATGTTGGCAGTAGCAATGATATGCACCATCACACCTTTTGCAGAACATGAGTTTAGTAGGGTCTCCAATACTTCGGCACGCCTAGAGAAGGAAGATAAGCAGCAATGAGTGCAACCAAAAATTTGAACATAATTTAGTTAAAACATGTATTAATATGAATAAATAAATTACCTCACAGGTTCGACAGTAAGGGCATGTCCAGGAACTCCAATGAAACAGATCTGCAATCATGCCAAATGTATAAGACTACACTAGTATAAGATAAACAGCACAATAAATTATCTGCCTCCATTTTTAGTACCTCTGTGTTTAGCCCAAGATTTCAAGCAGCTCCTGTGGTACTTCTTGCCACAATTTCGGCAAGAGAGCATCCTTCTTGCCCTCTCACTTCCTTCATTCTCACCCAAGAAGCATATGTGGCACATCACATTTCTGTTGTACTGTCCTTGCTCATCTACAGCAGAACTTTTTGATGCAACCTGGAAAGGAAAAAAGGTGTCATCACTTCTCGGAAAGGCAAAAAAAGAAAACAATATAGGAATACTACATAAAATAGTGACCACTCCCAGCATGGGACTCTTCTTTTCCCCTTTCCTGTTTTCATTTTACAAAGTTTAATTTCCAGTCAAAATGAACCTGAACAACCCAACACAACTGAAATCAACTAAAATATATAACCATTGAATCTTTCTTTCCAGTTTAGCTCAAACTCAATAATAGTATTCCCGAGCTCACTACAGAATGCATTTATACAGTATCATAATCAAAGATCCATCAGATTATACAGACAGAAGTTAACGGAATACAAACGTTTGCAAAACAACAATTATTCTAATGCATAAAAATATGCACACTACATATGGCCAAAAGTCAATTTACTAATATAAACATACGCGTGTAGCTGAAAAACATCATAACCCCTAAAGGGAACAAAATTCACACTTCACTATAATTAACCAAAAACCCAAAATAAAAATCAAGATACAAAAACAAGAATGTTACCGTAATATCACCCGACTCTACCCTCCTAGCATAATCCTCAGCCGCAACCATTGCGGCAGCGGCCTTCCTCTGAAGCGCGAGGCGCTTGGCCTGGGCCGACTCGTCGACGGTATCAGCGCCACCGCCGCCGCCCCCATCTCCGGCAGGAATCGGAGCGACTTTAGGTACGGGGACCTGGACTGTCCCCTCTCGAGCAACCCTAACGCCCCAGGGATCTTTGAAAAAGGCTTCGAGTTGAATCACTTCCTGCAAGAAGCCTTTCTTGGAGTTCGTAGACTGGAGATTCCGAGGAAACCCTAGCGAACAAAAGCAAATTCGCCGACTACAAAACAAAGAGAAACCATAAAAACATTTAAACAACGAGCTTTGGAGAGCAAGTTAAAAAAGGGGGCGAAGGCTTCCTTTTTTTTTTAGTGTATGAAAAAAAAAAGTGTACCATGTAATTGGGCAAGCTACGTGAAAGGCCATAGTGAGGGATTTTGGGATTTTGAATTTTTTTCGAGTTTTTGAGAGATTTAGCGATCTCGCTCCCAAAATTATTAAAATTAAAAATAAAACAATTAGATTTCTTTATATGGACACAACTGTAATGGGCTCGCCTCCTGTATCCTCTTTTTATTCATGTATAAGGCTTTTTTTTAATTGTCGTTTTGATCCCTCTAGTGAGCTTTTATTTTGAACTTAATCATATACTTTAATTTGGTAATATTTGATCTTTTATTTTTATAATATCATTAATTAATCTAAATAGTTAAAATCTTCAAATATTTATGTTAAAATAATGACATGTATTTCCAGTAAAAAAAAAACTAACACTAAAAATATTAATTCAAAATGATGAGTTAAAATGTTTTTTTAAGTAAAAATTCATATTTATATTTAATTGGAGTAGTAGAGAGGGTTATCCATTTTGAACTAATTACCGGCATTATAAAAGTAAAATGATAAAATTGTGTTAAATTTAAGAATAAAAAATAAAACATAAATTCAAACTTTTGCATATGAACTTAAATTATAGTTTGATATGAGATATTATATATCTTATAGTTGTTCTTATAATCTATGCTTTATGTATAGGAAAAAGAGAAAGTTAGGATTCATTTACAAAATGTAAATTGATGGTTATATCTATTTTTTTCCATAAAAACTCTTTATTTTTTAACTTTTTATCCCGTCCATCAATTTACATTCATCAAATGATTTTATTCTATAAAAAAGAATTGTATGTCTAGCTCAGTTGGTAGAGCGCAAGGCTCTTAACCTTGTGGTCGTGGGATCGAGTCCCATGGTGGGCAATTCATAATTTTGACTACCGGAGGTCTTCCACGGAAGCTGTTCTCAACCTGGCGTTGGGGGCAGCCTACTACCCTACCTCCCCTTACCCCATTACATATGAGAATAGGGTCGGCTATTTTTTTTAAATGATTTTAAAAATTACGCAACCCAAAAACTTAACCGGAAAAAAATATTACATTCGATCGTCAGAGTAAAAGTCAAAATTAGATGGAATTCAATACTTTTGATTCAATTTAATAGACATTATACATGTACATGGATCATATTGCAATAATTCAAAATGCATAACCACTCTACACAAACAATTAAATCAAGCCTTACTCTCAATTCCAACACTTACTTTCAAAGCAAACGGAGACAGATGCGAGCATAATTCAGTCAGATTAAATCATACCAAAGACTAATTAAATAGACTAATTAAATAGTCAAGGGTCTTATCGCAATCAAGTCAGTTTTTATGCAAAATATGATAAATTAAACAATTATAAAAGCCACTTAATACTTTGATCATATCGAAATCACAGGTATCGATACTCTATGTCATGCACCGACATCAAATGCAAGTAGCAATACTACTTTTGTATCCAAAAATTTTAAACAAAAAATGAATTTAAATCAAGATATCAATGAGTTGTGGATGAGATGAGAAATAATGCACAAAGTGAGAGGATTTTGCATTAAAAATAGTGAATAAACCTGTGTAAATATGTATTTATTAGCCTATTGTTTCTCTTATGACCATTAGATAGAGTTAACATGCCATACGATTTGAGTAGTTAATATTTCGATTTGTGATTTAGGATGATTGAGGCCCCCATGACATGAAGGAGAGATGAACGAAGGTAATTCATTCACGGGACATGTTTGGTGTGTTGGAGAGTGTTAGCTTAACTCTACATTTTTATTGGGACATTCTGACTTATGAGTCTCTTGTGAGGCAATAAGAAAATCAATTTATCTGATGATTATGGTTACATTATGTTTTGTCTTGAATAAAAATGTTAATAATCTTCAACGATAAAACTATAATTTAGTAATTAAATAAGGTAATATAGTTATAATCTTAGAATTAATCATTACTTTATGTTTTGATGTTGCAAGTGAACTTCAAAGTTTTTCATGGACCATTAAATATTATTTTCTCGAGACTTAAATGACTATACATGATGATTTGTTATGTGATGCTAGCATGATGTATGTTTAGTATGTATAGAAGTATGATATAGGACTTCGTAAAAGGCTAATATAACTTATTGGGACAGTGAAGTGTGCCTAAAATGCACGAAACAATAGTGCTAACGCATAACATGTATGAAAAACGACTTAAAATGAGTCACATGGCTTAGATTTTGATCTAATGTATATTTTGTTGTCAAATTCAGCATGCAAGTTTGCTTTTATATGTTTGTTGTGTTAACATTATGTTAGCAACACGATTAGGATGTTTGGTGATGATTTAAGGTTAATTTATTTTATTAAATCATGAAAAATATGTATTTTTTGGCCTATAGTATCTTTACTATATAAATGTGTATCGATACTGTATGAACGTTACAACATCTCAATTTCTCGAATTAAATACTTCTAAATCCGATGAATAAAAAACCATTTTAAGGATTGAAATATTATTTCTTAGTATTAAGAAGGGTGTCATATTCCATTAAGTTCATCTGACTAAATGATAGTTCAATTTGGGATTAAATTGAAAATGAAAGAGAAAAAAAGAACTTAAGGACTAAATTGTAAAAAAAGTCAAAAAGGATGATTGCATGGTTTTTTGCCCAATTGATGAGTTTAGTGGAACTTTATGGACAATCTATGTTAGGTGTCAAGTTTGTTTCTTATGGAGAATGTAAATTTGATTATTAATGGCATGTTTTGATTGTTTAAGGAGGATAAGCATTTAGAGGAGGTTATACAACAGTGTGAAATGGGTACTGGACTTGATATTCCTTAAAAAAACAAAAAACAAAGAAGAACCAAAACCCAGAAAGCCCAGTTTATTTTCTACCATGATGGTTTGGGCATGGACATCCAAGAACAGTAGGCACAACAAGCATTTGAGACATATAAACATAAACAGCAGACGATAAACTCATCAACATCAAATCCTTCCCATCACCCTTTTGTTTCGGGCTCGTGTTTACCTTCAACCCTCTGCCAAACTTGTGCACACCCGAGAAAACTTCAGAAAACAACACCTGCCTCTTCTCCTTCTCCTTTTTCTGTGTTCGAATTCGATGCTGATCGTTCTACTGGTTCATTGTTTTGACAAGATGAAACACCGAGAACTCTGTGTCGACGGTTCATGCTCCTGCTTTTCAGATGCTGAAATGGACCATTTTTGTAGTTAAAAGTATGGTTTACACAGAGAGCTGCCATCGATGTTAAAAGAGAAATTTGAACGAAGTATACAATATTGGATTTGATCATTGGGTGTCTTTGAGAAGGGAGAGATGTGTTTGATTCAACTTAAAGGAAAAGATAAGCGCGGTCGGTGTCATTGTAATGCAGCTTTGCGAGAAAATATCTCAAGGCGAATGTTTACCTTAGAAATTGGAATTTCAAAGGGAATGGATAACACTGGCCCAGCGGGTCAAGCAACAGCGAGTGTTGTATGATATTTCCATGTGCTATGCTTACTAGATTAGGTTTGATCTGGGTTTCTAGCCCTTTTCAAAGTTTCCTGGGCCATCCAATTGAGAACTTTAAAGTGCAGGTACAAATGCCCGTTCATTTGCAACATCCCAAACAAGTCATAACGATTAAATATCAAGTACATAGTAGAGTATGAATCTATCTTAAAGAAATTGTTAATTATATATGTATTTGATGAATTTTTGAAGTTTCAAGGTCACTTATAACCATGAACGAAGGCTACATGCAATGGTGCAAACTGAAGAATGGGTTGGAGACAATAGGCTCCTCTATGAGAAATTGCATGCATGCATGCATCCATTATCGAGTGATCCACTTGTACTGCTATAAAATTAAAGTTGTTTTTACATGTTTTAATAACAAATATTTTAATATTTTAATCATTGTATTTCACCATATTCAGATAGATCTTGCATGTCAAGTTTTGAATAAATTTATATTATTAAACTATTAGATATTATTAATGAAGAAATATATTTTTTAAATATCATGAGATGATTTACAATGTAATATCTATTCAGAATTTTTCTTAGTCATTAATAACGTTAAACACGCTTGTTTAAATCCAAATCCTTTAGAAAAAATAATACTCATCCAATGATCCTAAATTTATGTAAAACTAAAATAGTGTTACATTGTGTAACAAGACCATATTGTAACATTTTATAATGTGTAACATTTTAATATTTATATAAATTTTCAATAATATTTTAATTTTTAATATTTATTTTATATATTTTAATTATTTTCTGCAATTTAGGTTTTAAATAATTTTTTCAATTTATTTTTTCTTAAAAATAAATAAACTATCCTTTTTAATAAAACACATCTTTCACATCATCATTAATCGTGAATTGTCACATTAACATCGTAGACTACCACATTAATATTGTAAACTCTCAAATTAATAATGTAATGGTTAATGATGAATTTTATTGATCAAATAATCACATTTTTTTCTCAATTTAAAAGTCACATAGCGTCTAAAATAAATTTAGAAGTTATATTAGCTAGTTTCTTTCAAAAGTTCAAAGTACTTAAAAACCATTAAACCAAAAAGAATAAGAAAGATGTTGGATTGGAGTTGTTTGAATCTCAAAAAGGAAAAATAGAAAGGGGGGAGGGACAAGGTCATGTGGAGAACAGAGGAGGAAAGGGATGATCACAAGTAAAAGTAATATAGGGCCCATGAAATCTTATATTTTGTAATGTCCCTTCTTCCCATCAGAATCAGCTGGGCGGGGCCTATGGCACATGCCCACACGTTCATGCACATGAACTCCTCGATCTCTGTGTGGCCTGATTGGATTCAACTTGTTTTAAAGTGATTCCCAATTACAATACATATTTATATTATCTCTGTACGTGTGTGTTTATGGCTTCAACCTCGTCCTCCAAGATTAATGGCATACTAATAGGTATATAAAACACTGCTATTAGTTGGCTTCACCTATACTTGGTAACTAAGCCATTACTATTATTGCATAGTATATAGATGCACGTAATAGCAAAGAAGGAACAATGAGACAAGGTAAGGTCACCCCAGCTCAGGGTGGTGGGTGCAGATGGAATCAAACACATGAAA